TTCCAAACCCTTAATCATTTAATTGCCCTTCTCTGAACCTTTTCTAGTGCCAGTATATCTTTTTTGAGATGAGACCACATCTGTACGCAGTATTTGAGATGTGGGCGTACCATCGATTTATATAAGGGCAATAATATATTCTCAGTCTTATTCTTTATCCCCTTTTTAATGATTCCTAACATCCTGTTTGCTTTTTTGACCGTCTCTGCACACTGCGCGGACATCTTCAGAGAACTATCCACGGTGACTCCGAGATCTCTTTCCTGACTTGTATCTGTCCACTTGGCGCGCTGGCTTTCGTGGTTCCCATCCTCAGCAGGCCCCTGGCCCACGGGCTGGCTAGTTGCCTGGGAGTTCGGCATTGCAACTCGTCCCCGGGGCTGGCATAAAACCCAGGTGTCCTGGCTCCTTAACCGGTGCTCACAGCAATGCACTCCACTCCCTTCCCGGAGCTGGGCCCAGGAGAGGACCCAGGCGTCCTAGGTCCCCAGTCTGTTCCCTGACCCACGTTGCTTAGGGTCCATCTCATGCGGTTCTTAATTTGTGCCAGGGCTTGCCAAGGCTGAGCTGTGTCAGTTGTGAAAGTAAAAAAAGGGCTTCAGTCCCAGCACCTCTTTCATGACCAATTAACCCTGATCTCCCCTACCCAGCGTGGATTCGGTCAGCGCGACGCCACAGGAGTCTTCCCCAGCCGCGCAGGTCTGTAGGTCGCCTCTGCAGCTCACTCCTAGGCCAAAGCAAACCTCACACTGCAGACAGGCCCCTGGAGACAGAGAGAGAACATGAGCCACCTGGATTTCTCCCTCCCTCGCCTTCCCCGGGGCTCGGCGGGGAAGCGCCGGGTACAGCGCCCTGGGGTCCCTCATCAGCGTTGTGGACGGTCCCAGCTGGCTACAGACATTTCACGCTGCTCTGTGGCTGAGTCTCCCTGGATTTTGCTGCAGAGTTTAGTTCCCCGGTGGGTTTTCCCACCTCACAAACCCCAGAGAGATCCCCAGCGGGTGTGAGCTGATGTCGCTCTCCAGTGCGGTGCAGCAAGGGCCAAGTCCTACCTACCATTGACTCCAGTACAGCTGCGCCCCCTGACACCGGCTGGGCCCTGGCCCCCCTGATTCCAGTCAAGCTAGGGCCCCCTGACACCGGCTGGGCCCTGGCCCCCCTGACTCCAGTCAAGCTAGGGCCCCCTGACACCGGCTGGGCCCTGGCCCCCCTGACTCCAGTCAAGCTAGGGCCCCCTGACACTGGTTGGGGATCACATATAAATGCCCTTCAAATAGCCTTGAGCTCCTGCTACTGAAATTCAGACCCGCTGCCTGTCACACAGACAATCCCTGTTCGAAATGCCCTTGGCCTCTGGCCAGCTCTGAAACGTGCCCAGTCACGACACGATTCTAGTGATTTAAACTGTAAATATTTCCTCCCATTTCCACAATTGTTTCACTCGCTGTCACAGGACTTTGTAACTTCCAGCCCTCTCCTCCTCGGACGCTATCACTCGGACGCTCCCAACTCAGCCCCCGTTATTCTGCGGCTGCTTTTCAGTTACGTTTGTTAACAGTTTTACTCGACAGGCAGCTCTGAGCTGTTGGTACATTGGAGAAGTTAGGAGATCAGCCCATGTAGGAACAGACCCAACTCACCTGTAGCCAGGAGAGCAGCAAGGATGCAGAAGGCAAGAGAAGCCTCCATGGTGATGGGGAAGCAGTAGATCGGTGCTGGGGTCTCTGATGCAGCCAAATCTCTGGCCAGGGGATTTATCACAGACGGGCTGAAATAAGATCAGAACAGAGATTGGACATGCATGAGCCAGTCAACAGGGTGGGGGTATCCTCAGTTTTGAGGTAGCCAAAACCCTGACCCCTTCGTGGCTGGTGTGTTCGTGTCATCCACCCGGAGAAGACAGAGACAAACCAGAAATGCTCCTGCTGGAAGGTTGCAGCATAAGGTGTCTGTTTCTGGGGATCCAGAACGATCACACACAAGAACCACAAACAAGGAGGAGACAAAACAGGCTGCTCACTATGTCAACAAGAGACAACTCAGCCCACCTTGTTCTAGGCTGCTTCATTACAAACTGCCTCTGGTCCCACGCTTCCCTGCAGAGCTCCTTAGACTGCCAGCAGGACCAGGAAACCCCACAAACTCCCCCACCCCCACTTTTAAAGTGATAGTTTGCCATTGCAATCCTGTCCTTGAGACACAATGTCCAGCTCCCTGTAAAGCGGCTCTCAGCCACACACTACTTTCAACAGAGTAGGGATCCCAGGGCAACCCCTTATCCCTTGTCCAGAGCAAAATTCCTTCTGTGTCCCGCTCCCCAGAGATCAGGGTCTGTGGCCCTGCACCACCACCCCAGATTCCCCAGGGGGAGGAGGAATTGTACTGACCCCTCCGCACATCACATAGCAGGGGCACCTTCCCCACCTGCTTGGGGTCATTCACGTTGCTACAAACCATCAGGCAGCCATAGACTGGGGTAAGAAATTCCCCCTCCCTCCTGGCAGCAGCTACCTCTGCCCTCTCCCTCCCCTCCCCCTGTGCACTGCACTTGGACACTTGCCACCTTTGGCGGGTGTCGCAGCATTGCCAATGCTTTGCGGCTGCCTCAGTTTCCCCACCTGTGGTTGGGAGCTCAGCCACCCTCAGGGTCTGTTCTGCCTCATATTCCCTGGTAAGGAGAGGACACAGCTGATTTCGTGGTATCGGCTGAAGGAGTCCAGGAGTGTACCCAGGATTCAGAGAGTCACCTCTCCAGTGCGGCAGCGGGCATCTCTCTCACCCCACCCCACCCCTCAGTCTCAGGCAGCTGTTTGCACTTGCTGGGAAGAGAACTGGAGCACAACGATATTTGCCTTTTGATATGACCCCACTGCACCCGCCAGCTGCCCCATTTGCACGCTGACTCTCGCCTTCATC